ATTACAATACTATTTTTGCGTTGTATGAAAATTTTTGTTGCTCGGTATAAAATTTTTAATCAAGCCCCTCCCCCCCGGTCAAAGGTGTCCCTCTTTACCAATCTGAAAATCTGGTCACCTTAAAATAAACGTATTATATTTGTAAATTGTAGTTATGTTGAAATAAAAAAAATATTACAATACTATTTTTGTGTTGTATGAAAATTTTTGTTGCTCCGTATAAATTTTTTAATCAAGCCCCTTCCCCCCTGGTCAAAGGTGTCCCTCTTTACCAATCTGAAAATCTGGTCACCTTAAAATAAACGTATTATATTTGTAAATTGTAGTTATGTTGAAATAAAAAAAATATTACAATACTATTTTTGCGTTGTATGAAAATTTTTGTTGCTCCGTATAAAATTTTTAATCAAGCCCCCCCCCCCCTGGTCAAAGGTGTCCCTCTTTACCAATCTGAAAATCTGGTCACCTTAAAATAAACGTATTATATTTGTAAATTGTAGTTATGTTGAAATAAAAAAAATATTACAATAATATTTTTGCGTTGTATGAAAATTTTTGTTGCTCCGTATAAAATTTTTAATCAAGCCCCCCCCCCCCTGGTCAAAGGTGTCCCTCTTTACCAATCTGAAAATCTGGTCACCTTAAAATAAACGTATTTATATTTGTAAATTGTAGTTATGTTGAAATAAAAAAAATATTACAATAATATTTTTGCGTTGTATGAAAATTTTTGTTGCTCCGTATAAAATTTTTAATCAAGCCCCCCCCCCCCCGGTCAAAGGTGTCCCTCTTTACCAATCTGAAAATCTGGTCACCTTATGTAAAACTCCTTATGCACATTTTTGTTACCTTGCATAGAAATCCCACCCTCTATCAATTTCACTTCTTAAACTATTTTATGTCCTCAATTTCATGTTTAGTCTAACCATCATTACTCAGCAGTTTTCTGTTTTAATTGTCTCACTTGGTTTTTGTTTCTGAATTATTTTTAAATCTTGCATTTCAACATTAAAATGCTCCCATTTGTATGTTTCTTCAAGCTCTTCCATACTGTGTTCTCTGATCCTCCAGAAAAACACTCCAATAAAGCCCTAGAAGTCAATTGTTTTGCAACAACAATTTTCCACATATTCTAAAGTTGTAAGCCATGGACTGTGTTTGACTTTGTTTTAATTTTGCTCAATACATTGTCACTCTTACTTTACTTCTTTTCTTTCTGCAAATGTCTTAACAATACTTCGGCTCTATGTCCGTCTTTGCAATATCAAAATATTAATAATTTCTTGTAATTTCTACTTGTAAAATATATTCTTTTCATCCAAATTATTACTAAGCTGTGACACTGACTATACCACAGTAAATTAATGTCCAGTTATGTGCGGAATGTTCTCAAATACTGTTTCTACTGAAAATGTAGTAAAATAAGTCTTTCTACCACATAAATTATGGAATCCAAAATGGACTTAAATAGATAAATCATGTATACTTTATATAGGAATACCTTGAAGTTTTCTGCTAAGTTCCAGCTTTTCTTGCTCTAAACGTCTTATTCGTCTCTCATATGCTTCTGTAGCCAAGGTATCTTCTAGCGTTCTTTGAACATTGGCATCAAGTTCCATTACACGTTGCCCAGCTGCAAATCTTAGAGTACTACGATCCGAAAGGACACTGAAAAGATAGTTATCAGGTTTAGAACATTTTAACAGACTGATCTTTATGACTTTCATATTAGGATAATTAAAAGTTCATATATGCATTCCAACAGAAAACTAGAAGCTGTTAGGTCTCTTTATTGTACTTTTTTTTTTGCAAATGTATTCATAAGGCCATCATAAATTGAAATTGAAATCCAACACAACTCAAGTAGAAATCCACTTGGATATTCTAATGAAATCCATTCAAAAGGATTGTCTCTCTTCCCTCTTATTACCCTCCAAATTGACTTGTAATGATCTTCCAAATATCCAGAGTCAATTTTAAATGGCAATAGTCGTAAGGAGGAACAAGAATAGTTTTGCCATCTCTCCCAATTCCAGCAATGAAATAACAATCAGTAGAAAAAAATAACTAAAAATTACTCAGATACTAATACATACTCTTAAAATATCTCCAATTCTGCAGTGATGCTAAAAGTTTTGTGAAGCCTTATGTGTTTTCAATATTTCTGCAAAAATCTGACCTAAAACACAAACTGTTCTGCATACAAATCCTAAAACTAGATAAACAGAACCGAATTAAACAAATGAGTCAAACATATTGTACTTATTCATTGATTTATTGTGGGAAATGATTCAAAGGATGCTCAGTTCTGCACATCAGCCTGGAGGAATTTTAACCCATTCTTCCGTGCAGAAAAGTTTCAACCCAGGAATGTTAATATGTTTCCTCTCATGAACTGCCTACCTCAGGTCCTTCAACAATATTTCTACAGGATTAAGGTCAGGATTTGGATTTGGCCATTTCATTTCTTTAGTTCCTAAGGCCTTTAGTTCCTTAGACATCATTCAGATATTACCGTATTTTTCAGACTATAGGACGCACCATGATTTTGAAGAAATAAATGGAAAAAAAAGTTTTTGCTCTCTGCAGGCCTCCCAAAACCTTTGCACACCTCGTTTTTTGGCAAAAAACAAAGGGTGTGCAGAGCTTTGGGAAGCTTTTAGCGTGCTTGTGGGGGCAAAAATGAGCAAAAAATGGCCCATTTTTCATAAAAATGGGCCATTTCTTGCAAAAAAAAAAAGGGAGGGCATGCAGAAGGTTTGGGAGGCTTGTAGAGTGCTCCTAGGGGCTGGGGGACAGGAACAAGCAAAAGTGACCTGTTTTTTGCTCTTTTTTCCCCTCTCCAGCCTCCAGGAGCACTTTGCAAACCTCCCAAACCCTCTGCACATCAATTTTTGCAAAGGGGGCGGGATGTATTCAGATTTTCACCCTCTTTTTTGGGGGGGGGGGAGTTGCGTCTTATACTCTGAAAAATATGGTATATGCCTTGCTTTTAGTGTGATCTTGGTTGGTCGGCTACTCTTAGGGATGGTTATAATGGTGTTGAACTGCCTTCAGTTGTACAAAATCTGCTGACAGTGGACTGGAGGACTCCAAATTCTTTGAAAATACCGTAGTTTTATAATCTTTTCCAGCCTGATGAATGTCAACACTTGCTTTTTGGAGATCTGCAGAAATCTCCTTTTTTTTTTCAAATCATGACACACTTCCACATACCTGTGTTATGAAGATCAGACTTTGACAGTGAATATTCAGAATTCAATTCTTTAAATAAAGCAGGACTTCTGCACTCACACCTGATTACTAGATTTCCATTGATTGAAATACCTGACTATTTTTTCCTTCAAATGAACTGATAATCCTAGATGTTTATAAATTTTGCTACACATTCAATAAACCAATTAAGATTTTGACTCATTTGGTTAATTGGGCTTTCTTTATATAGTTTTAGGGCTAGTATGGAGAACAGATTGTGTTTTACATCATATTTATGCAGAAATTTTATAAATTCAAAAAACTTTTAAGCAGCATTGTATATACTGAGATAAAGCAGGTATGGAAATGATCTATGATATAAACTTGCCCAATTGTGTAAGTCCTGGATTCTATCAATCAGAAGCCCTTTCAATATCCAATTGCATATTGAATAAGTATTCTGCAGTGCTACTGCAAAACAACTATTATGTTTATCTCTAGCCATTAAAAAAATCCCTTGCAATTTTGGCCTTTTAATATTTTGCATTCACCTATTATTTTAGGTGGATCGGCATGGTGGCTCAGATACTGGGCTTATGAGCTGGAAAGCCAGCAGCCCAGGTTCGAGACCTGAGCGCCACATGGAGGGATGAGTTCCTGTCCTTGCCCCATGTCCTGTCAACCTAGCAGTTTGAAAACATACAAATGAAAGTAAATAAATTGGTACCACTTTGGAAGGAAGGTAACAGCGATCTATGATATCATGCTGGCCACATGGCCGTGGAAATGTCTTCAGGCAGTGCTGGCTCAATAGCCTTGAAACGGAGATGAGCACTGCCCCTCAGTTGGCAATGACTAGTGGAGTAAAATCTACAGTGACTCCTCTGCATTTCTTATTATTATTTTAGGTAGAGGAAACACCAACAAGAACTATATATTGGCTATAACTGGGTATAACAAATATATTGGACTAACATTAGGGATTTTGTCTGGTGTGCAGTTTTATTATACAGTCTGCGCTTTCTTTATTACTATGAAGATGGAAACAATGTGCCATTCAACGTATGAATTTTGTACTACAACCGTACTACAAATACTTCCATTTAATTCTATTTTATTTTTAAATCACAAAATAATTGAGCTATTCTATTATGATTTAGTATAAACAAACAGGTCACTCACCAGCTACTTGTATATGTGAATCCTATAAATGGCAGGTGATGGCCAGAAAATGCAGTATGTGTTGGCGGCGGCATTGTCTCCTGAAGTTTAAAGGAACAAGAAGAGTTTATTAATTTAGAAAACGTTAATCCATTTGTATTAATTTCAGGTAAAATTAGCACAATGGGTATTCTGGTTCAGAAAAAGTAGCAGATTTGAAAAGACCATCACAGAAACATTACCGCTGGCTTTCTTGGTCATTTTATGGTAATGTAAAAGTAATTCTGGTTCAATGTTTCTTATTTCCAGCAATGTTTACATCACCAAAAGTACAGAACAAAAAGCTGAGAAAACAAGAAAAACCAGGGGAGGGGGAGAAACCTCTTTTTTGGACTGTCTGATTGCCATTTTTGCTTATTTTAGAAATTAATGAAAACTTGTAATTGTTCAGTGACCCAATGGACATACATTTTGATAGTAGTGTAAATCAGTAATTTTAATTTACTTATTTGTTTGTTTGTTACAAATTTCTTTTGCTGCTTCTTTTAAATAATGATTGGGGTATTAGTAAAAAGTAAGATAGAAATTTTATACATAAATACACAAATATCAATGTAACATATTAAAAGACACTCTCCTCTTATTACTTACAGAATTTTTTAAACAGTCATCATCTACATCAAAATTTGAAGTATCTGTTGGACTGCTGACTTCAGGAATATAAGGTGCTTCACAGTTCTGAATGTTATCCCAGTCAATCCCTGAAAAAAATGGGTGGCTTTTAAAGTCTTCTATTCCATTCTGCCCAAGTCTATGTTCTCTGCTGCAGATAAGCCTTCGAATTAGGTCCTTGGCATTTTCAGACACGTCTGTCATTTGGGCAGGAAACTGAAATCTTTCCTTAAAAGAAAAAAAGAATACTAATTAATAAACTAATGCTAACTACTTTACAAAAAAACATAAACTAACTACACCAACCCAAGAAGCAAAATCCCATAGGTTCTGTATGGGTACATTTATATTTAAATTTATCAAGTACAAATATATTGCCACATAATGTGAATTACCACTTTCTCCAAGGAAGAATTTATTCAGAAGTATAAGCACAAATTGGTAAGAAATTTTCAACACTTGTATGTTGAAACCTAGAGTTTTTAGAATTTTGTTATACCCTTAGTAATCCATAAAATATATGTTTTGGGAAAGTATGCACAGAATATTTTATATCAGAGATATAGTACCTGTCTTGAAAAATAATACGCATACTAGGAATTGCACCATAAAAAATAAGAGGTACATTAAATGAAATTTGCAGGAAGATATGTAAAAATTTGAGATCATACTATTCTTGTAAAATAATTGTCAAGGCGGAAACAAACTAAGAAAAACCAAAATTGACAGATTCAGTCTAGTTGAAACAATGATTGAACTTCTTTTAACAAGCAGACATCCTTGTTTCTGGTCAGTGGTCATATTTATCTTTTGGTTGGCAGAGAAAGGATAAAATAGTGCTTATTAAATTAACTCAGTACAATTAATATGAATACTGAGAATGTTGTTTATTCTTTTGTCACATGAAATGAAACATTTCTATTTGTTTGCAATTTTGGAGACTGCACTCAACAACAGAGTTCCGAAAGTGAAATTCAACCTCACAACAACATTTGTTTGCATTAATGATCTTTTCCTAATTTTGTCATTCTTTTGGACACATGGAAACTTATATCACTAAGCAAAACAATTCTAGATTCCTTGGATGCTGTCATTCATTCCTACAGACAAGGATAGCTTACTCACTTTGTGGTTCATTATCTTTCCATATGTCTCCACCAGAGATTCAGCATAAAAAGGTGTTTCTCCATAAAGCATTTCATACATGCAAACTCCAAGGGACCACCAATCACATTCGGGACCATATTTTCCTTTCCCATCTTCCATGGCTTGCAGAATTTCTGGAGATATATAATCTGGTGTTCCAACTGCCACTGAAGACTGAACCTGTAGGGATTATTATTTCACAGTAAAACATTACTCATAATACTACTTCTATTTCTATATGTACCGGAACAGATCCATTTATATTTAAAGTAGTGGTAGGTATGAGTAGATGGAATTAAAGAAGAATGTTTTCCACCATGATAGATTAAAAATCCTACTAGCAATCTGGCATTTATTATCTATAGCTGTTATCTTATTCCTGAACTTGCAGTGAAGAAAAATTCCACATCAATGTACAATCTTTTATTTCTTTCAGATTGTATCAAATACTGAAAGATTGTATTAACAAACTTTGCACATTTTCACTTTTTTCAAAAATATACAATACTTTGCTACTTGCAGTGGTGGGTTGCAGGCAGTACACCCCGGTATGGGTGTACCAGTGCCTGCCCGGAACACCGGGTACTGTTGCGGTATAGTGCTCCAGAGGGCCCACCTGTCTGCCCGAGCTCCTTATCTGTATTTGAGCTCTTCGGCGCATGGAGTGCACGGTGCCTGCGTGACGCTCTACTGAGCAGCTGGAGCGTTGTGGAGGCTTGCGAAGGCGTCGGAAGAGGTAAGGATGCATGCGTGCATGGCACACGTGTGCCTGCGTGCTGTGCATACTCATGTGGAGGACACCGGTCCGTGTTGCACTGGGATCAGGAACCCACCACTGGCTACTTGGGAATGATGTAAACACGTGACCCGACAAAAGGGTGAATGACAAAACTGCGCCCGACTAAACCGTGTTGCTAAAACTGCGACGTCATCAACGTACCGACAACAGCGCGTCGACAGAAGGGCGATTTACAACAGCGCGTCGGCAGAAGGGCGATTTAAGTTAAGGTAAGGGTTAGGGTTAGGGTTAGATTTAGCGTTAGGTTTAGCGTTAGGTTTAGGGTTAGGCGTAGCGTTACGTCTAGGGTTAGGTTTAGCTTTAGGGTTATGTTTAGTTTTACAGCGCGCTTCTATCGCCGCACTGTTGTTGGCGCGATTTAGCACCCCTTCGTCGGAGCGCTTTAGAACACGCGGTTTTGTCACCGCGGTTTAGTCGGGCGCGGTTTTGTCATTCGCCCTTTTGTCGGTGAACCATGTAAACAAAAAGTAATAATAATAGCAAGTGATATGGAACCAAATATTTAACCTAATTTTGAGTTATGGCTAGGAAATATTAGAACACACAGATTGCTGCAAACAAGCAGAAGTAGGCTCTGGATTTTATCACAGATTTGGCAGACACTAAGTAGGTGAATTTTTAGAACGCAAACAGGATTTCTGATATTTTTTCACATGTTTCTGATATTTTAAAAAAACTATATTCAAAGATTGGGAGCAGGAGAGAATATACAGATAACATTCAAATATAGTGAAACAACACAAATCACAGAGAAGACCATTACATGAGGCAGACTGCAAGAAAAATTACAGGTTTGAGTCAGTAGGAGGGAGTAAGTAGAACTAGAAACTTTTTATATTTTAAAATGCTGAAATATTCAAAAAACATGCTTTGATATATCTGAATATTTGTTCATTATTACTAAACAAAATTCTTTAATAATAAAAACGTTCTATTAATTAACAAAAAAAAAGTAAAACTGACTGCAGGTATTTTTCACTACCCAACTTTGTTGCTTAAGGACACAAAATCCATAGAAAGGAGCATATTCTACAATAAAAGCATCTAAATTATGCACTCAGTACCCAAATTCTATGGTGAAATAGATCAGTGACAGAACAAAACATATGATAGGCATTACGATATAGGACTATATAAATTCTATAAAAAATGAAAGATTCACAGGATAATGGGAATTATTAAATATTTATGGACAATGATGGCAAAGTAAGATATTTGGTGAAAGAACATAAAAGGAGTGCAAAGTAAATGAATCTTATAGTATATCTAACCAGAAGAATTAAAATGGGTTTCTATTACAGCTGTAACACAATTGCTCAAAAAGAATAATTTAGCAAACAACAACATTTCTTTATATCAAATATAATCTCAAAACTGAATTGGTTAACAAGGATCAAATATTAAAGATGTCTGAAGCTACATTTTAACTATTTATTTCTTTAAAAAAAATCTAATTTACCGTTCCATCTTCCATCAGCTTCAGACAAGAACCAAAATCCGCTAACCGAATATGTCCATTCACATCCATCAGGATATTGTCTGGTTTGATATCCCTGTGAACAAAATTCATTTGGGTCATTCCATGTTAAGTGTCATCAGTCTAATAAGATATTTTGCATTTCAAACACTTTGGCGACACCTGAAATTAAAATGCATATTGCAAATTAATCATGATTTGATGAAACCTGAATCACATATTTCTATCAATTAATGTGCATCAATTAAAATCTGTATACCGTATTTTCACGACCATAAGGCGCACCGGATTATAAGGCGCAGTATCAGTTAACGTTAAATTTTCAACCTTTTTTCATATATAAGGCGCACGTTGTTTTTTTTGCAACATTCATCCGCGTGGGTTTACTGGCAGATGCTCAATTTGCAAACATTTTTCACGGATCCGCGTAGCCTTTAAACGCAGCCTAAAAAGAATTAAAACACTAAAAAAATACAGAGAAC